TTTCTGAGTTCCAATCCATCAATGAATTAATGTGCCAACCCATTGGTGCTTAGGATAAGATGAGCACCGATGCTCATTAGATCATTTCTGTATATATATATATATATAATCGATAGATTATCTTAAATAGAACTATGTCCCTCGTTGTAAAATGATTAATTATCCAGTGACGCTCGAGTGTCACTTAATTTAGTACTCACATCAACAATGTTAAATGGCATTATTTTCAAAGTAATCATTAACGAGGCGGATTGAACCAATATAATCCATTTTACATTCCTATAGAAGTGAGGGGAGAGTGGAGCGGAGGTCGCGAGAGGGCTAGACGTGTCGATTTCCAAAGGGTGGAAGTGGAGCAGTTGGTCACCTCAGTAGGTGCCCATTTGGTTGTCATGGTTCAACATTAGACTGCAAATGGCGTTAAAATTTCAATCTTCCTACGACTTCTGTGCTATCTGCTTTCTAATTTTTTGGTGGTCAAGGCACGAGGGACAACTCACGAGTGGGATCCAATGCAATATATGGTTTCTTTTGTCATTTTATTGTGTCTATTCAAATCTAAATCGAATACACCTTAAAAGTGAAGATAGAGATTGAAGCCCTTTTCGATTTTGTTGAAATTTAGATTTTTATTCCCTGTTTTGTGGAGCTAAAAATAAATAATTTTGTAAATTTTGATAAAACTTGGTGCCTATTTGACAACCATTTTAATGCGTTTTAAAATGGTAATTTTTTTTTGAAAATGCGTGGTTAAAAAGCATGAAAAAATTTTAAATTTACGTACAAAACATTTTATTGTAAAAATGTATGGTTAAAACTGAATATGAAAAAAAAAATGTTTTAATGACTGTTAAACACATGATTGATGACACGTGTAGCGAAAAAGTTGTGAATCACATAAAATATGTGATTAAAATTAATTATTAACTTTAATTTAGTCCCACCAAACAGGGCCTTAGTAAATGTATATACTCACGATGGGGGACAAACACATCACAAGGTTGACACTAGGAAATGCGCCCAAGACCCGTCTCCATTTTTATGTAATGGTTCTTGGGTCCATGTTTGGTGCCCATTATTTCAAAAAAAAAAAAAAAAGAGTTAAATATTATTTTTATGAGAATGTGTAGCTAAAAAGTTAGAAAAAATTTAAATTTACGTACAAATTATTTTATTATTTAAATGTATAGTTGAAAATAATTTAAAACAGTGAACACCAAACAAAGGCTAAATAAACTTGAGCACTTGATTAACTTCTCGTATTGATCCGAACTCTTGAAATTAGAATAAGCTTAGCACGAATCAAGCATTGCAAATCTTTCTACTAATTTTCAATTCTTTTTCAAATAAAATATTGATTTATATTATATTAAAGTTAGTTAGGTATAGAAGGTCGTTTGATTGCACGCGCTGAGAATGCGATGAAGGGTGGAATAATCCTCGGACCCCATTCCAATAACCAAACAATGTGAAAAGGAGGGCGGTAGTTGGCTACACAAAAAAGTTAATCGGGGTATTATCCAGTGCAACAGGGTTCACGGTATTCGTCTTACGTGTCGATATTTATTTCTTGATTGGGTCCCTCTTTGTTGGAGCAGTACCCAATGTGAACCCCTTCTTTAAGTAATTAATGAGAATCGAAAATGGCGTTGTGTCCCGTCCAGTATCTCATCTTGACATTTGATCTGCACCGTTAACGTGAATTATATTTCTTGGAAGTGTTTAAAACGTGTATGCAACAAAACTAAAGTGATGATTGGTCGTGGTATGTGCGGTTGATAAACAATAATACTGACTTTGTTGATCGCACGAGAGATGATGTAAAAAATTATTTAAATTGAATTGTTGCTGAGAAAAGTGTGCAACACATAAAGTACTCTAAACACCATACATGGATGGAACGAGTTCTAAAACGTATTAAAGGAATATCATGCTTTGACAGAGATACGAGTTTTGCATAATATGACAAGTGACAACGTGTCTACTTGGATTATTATGTTGCATAAAACTTTTGCAACATGCATCCCTCTTCCGAAGCACAATATCCCAAAGTGTCACAAGATCACTTTCAAGATTAGTCTTTAGCCACGTCTTCGTGCACTAGTTAGGGCTTTGAACATTCTCGAAGTTCATAAACATTGTCCCTCCCAAATTATGCCTTGGGATTTAAAAATTTAGTTGTTAATACTCGTTTAATAAAACGAGTCCGTATCTAGTGACTATGTTTAAGATGATTGAGACTCGCTTCTCAATGTAGAATTACTCTCGTGACTTCTGAAATTGTGTCATTGTAAAGATTATATAATCGTACATTTTTATTTTTTAATTAAGAGCACTAAAATGATACATTTTCTAAAATAGGCGAAGGAGCGTCTCACTTAAGAGCTACACTCGTAGTAGCCTTCTATCGTATATTATATATAAAAATATAAAATGGACTACTATAACTTTCTTTTTCACAATTTAGTCCTTCCAAATTTCACCAATATTTGAGTTTTACACCATATTAAATTATTTGTTGACCATATTATGATTTAAAATAAAGTAATTAGTTCAACTTAGAGAACATAATTTGTCAGTTAAAACTGACTTTTGAAAAAGTGGTTAATCAATCTAAAACTTAATCAACAGCCCGTTGACTTGATTATATCACTAACACATGATTGGCTGGTCATTCACCTGGTGACAGCAATATGTGCCCATTACAACCTTAAGGAACAGCAAGCATCAGATGCTTTTTTGTCAAAAAATAAAATTTCACATCATAAGTAAAAGCTCATTTAAATAAAAGTTTATGCGATTAAAAAAAATTAAGGAAAAACGAATTTGAAAATGGAAATCAAACAAGAGCATAAAAGTATGATATTAGAAGTCATTAAATTCAAACAAGAAATTTAGCCCATGTTTGGTGTAGATTAAAATTAATTTTATAATAAATTTTAATAAAAGTTGATAAAGAGCCTGTTTGGTACAAATTCTCATTTTCTACAGTAAATCAATTATCATTTTCAACCACACATTCTTCACTAAAATAATATTTTACATCACATTAATACTTTTTTCTTTTTTTTCAACCACACATTTCCCATCATATCACTATTCAAAAATCAATTCTTCCCCCAAAAATTCCTACCAAACACACTCAAAATGTGTTGTTGAAAAGTTGTCGATTTCGTGAAATGTATGATTAAAATTACTTGTTGACTTTTAAATGAAATGTTAGCAAATTTTAACTTACATCAAATACGGGCTTAATCCAACTAAAATTCAAATGAGCACACGAATTCAAAGATCAGTAAACTTCGAATATTGAAGTTTGAAGAGAGAATTTAAAATCCATAAATTAAGGAATGTTGTTGAGAGGTGAAGGAGTGAGGTTCCATGAATAATGATGGAGGGCCTGTCCATTCATCATTAATTAATTAAAACAAAATAATTAAGAAAATATGGTCGTGTCTGATTAATATATTTCAAATAAAAAAACCAGACAGGAGTGTCAATTATTATTTTAATACGAGAACTTTTTTATAGAAGTTGCAGTATCCACAAACACTATCCCATCCAATAAAATTTCACCACCTTCTTCAGCTACCCCCCCTTCCCTCTCTCTCTCTTGCTCTTAAGTTTTTTAGGCCAAAAATTCAGATTCAGCTTGCTTTTCTTTTTCTTGCTTTCTTCTCTTTTCTTTGTTGTTTCAATATTTGGAAGGAAAAAGGAGGAAAGCAGAAGACTCTTTTTCAATTTTTTTTCTCTTCAAAAAATCTCAGGCTCCTCTCAACTGTTTTTCTCACTCGAGTTTCCATCTTTCAGCTTTTCAGGTTGTGACAGTTCTCCCCACTCCAGCTTCTTTATTAACTGTCTCTGTTTATTGCAACTTTTTGCTTTTTCCTTAGTGGGATATCAAAAAATTTAATCTGAGGAAGATAAATTTCCACTAACTCCCATTTCTGATTGAAGATCTCGTATCATTTTCTTGGAATTGTTTTTGGGTTTTTACACTTTTAGTTGTCTTTGCCATTTGGTTTTGTGGGTACAGATCTTAATGATGGTTTTGGTGGAAGTCTATGGAGTGAAATAGTTTTTACTTTTTATTAATTTATTACCTTTCTTTAGTTAACCAAATTTGTGAGATTTTGGTTGATTTTGAAAAAGGTGTGATCTTTTTAAGATTCCTCAAGCGAGAGGTGGCTGTAGAGGAAAAGCTATTCTGATTCCTCCACAAAAACACTGATATAGCCATTGTGAAGCTTCCACCTCTCTGCATTCTCTTTCCCACTTCTCTTCTTACTCTACACTTTTCTCCTCTGTTTCAATATATCCAAAACTTATTCAAGATCTTCTGATATTTCGACATATATTCTTCTTACTGGAATTTCAAGAGGTGGGGTATGGAGATTTTATCACCAAGTTCTTATTTTTCTAATTCAACTTGGTTGCTTGAGGAGAGCAGAAGCACAAAATGGACTCCTGCTGAAAACAAGGCCTTTGAGAATGCTCTTGCACTACACGATAAGGATACGCCCGATAGATGGCAAAAAGTCGCGGAAATGGTTCCAGGGAAGACTGTGGGGGATGTTATTAGGCAATACAAGGTGTTGGAAGATGATGTTAGTAGTATAGAGGCAGGGCTAATTCCAATTCCTGGATATAGCACGTCGTTGCCTTTTACACTCGAATGGGGTGGCGGCCGTGGATTTGATGGATTCGACCATGCTTATGTTGCGGGGGGAAAGAGATCCTCATCAAGTAGGCCTAATGAACAAGAAAGGAAAAAGGGTGTTCCATGGACAGAAGAGGAGCACAGGTGTGTTTTCTATCTCCGATACTCTAATGAACTCCATTTTCTTGCATATAAATTGAATTGATATTGCCGGAATACTTAAATATTGGAAGTGTAGATTAGTTTACACCGAGCATTTTACAGAATTATCAACTACAAGTTGGATATAATTGACTTATTCTAATGAATTTCAGTCTTGGAATGTATATACTTGAAGTCTAATTTGAGATTTATTAATTAGTTTCTTACTGATTGATGTTAACTTATTTGAAATTCCGATTGTGTTTGGCATTAATTTGGGATGATTTGTTACGTAGGTTGTTTCTGATGGGGCTTAAAAAATACGGAAAAGGGGATTGGAGAAATATCTCGCGCAATTTCGTGATTACTAGAACACCAACACAAGTTGCTAGCCATGCTCAGAAGTACTTCATTAGGCAACTCTCCGGAGGAAAAGATAAGAGAAGAGCAAGCATTCACGATATAACAACGGTCAATCTAAATGAGAATCAAAACCCGACATCGGAGAACAAAAAACCACCTTCGCCTGAGCAGTCTACCGTTCTTCCACAGCAGTCGAATTCTGCAGCAATCCATAAACTTCCTTTCCACTGGAATCAATCATCCAATGATGCAGTCATGTATGGATTTCAAGCAGGAGGAGGCCTAGGAAATATGTTTTCTCCTCCCCATGGCATAAATTCTTATGGACATAAAATGCAGGCTCAACATTTGCAAAGAGGTGGTATGCATGAATCATTATTGGGATCTCAAAACAGGGTGTTTCAGATTCAATCAGGGCATTATTTTCCTCATGCTTGATATTGCATTAGCCCTTGATTACACTTTGTTAGTTTGAAATTCCTAGTTTGGATTTACTAGCATAGATTGCTTGTGCTTTTCGATCTTTTGTGAATATTTTGTTTCTCGAGCATGGACTGGCACCACCGTGAATGCAATGCCAAATCCCCCTTGCATTCGAGCTTGATGCAAGGTTACCAGTATATTGAAGTTGCAAATGCCTCGTTGAAATCTAACGTGTTAATAAAATACTCATATAACTGTTATGGCTGGAATTGTCTTTGGTATATGTTTTTTCGCTCGTGATTAGTTCATTCTTGGCTGTAACTGTTGCTAGCATACCATGAGCTTGAGTGTGGCTTGCGTCCATACGACACCATGTTGCCGTGTGGTGTTCGGAATGGAATTTGTATCGGTCATTCAAATTCCTATCATCTTCGTCCCACTGTTCTCTTTCTTTGTGTCAATCTAGTAATGAATAGAATAGAAACCGAATGATAAAAAGGGAATCACGAAGTCTAGACTTTGCAAGCTTTTGAATCGAAGTCTAATGTACATTCCACCATAAAAAATCATTCATCGCATTCTTTACATATCCTCTCTCTTTTATTTTCCATTTTTTTGTGGTAGATTTTGTGTTTCCATTCAATTTTCATTTACTTATCAAAGTTCTTGACAAAAAAGAAATTTGATAGAAATCCATGCTTGTTGATACATTTTAGCTAAAATTTTATTTGTAACGTCCAACACTGTACAATAATGGCTATCAAGCATGCCATGGTAACTATTTGTTACGATAAATTGAATATATTATCTAGTACCAAGTACCGAATATTCTATTGTGCACTCCGAGCAAAGAATTCATGGGAGGCAATATGAACATTGGTAGCTTTTCACTTGGAAATGACAAAATTAGGCAATTTCTTTATAGAAAAAGGAACACTATATGTGCATGTTGCACCCGAAAGCACCCTAGGCCACTTTATTCTGATTTTTATCATCATCTTAACCACGTACACAAAACTAGGATCTCTCACTTTCGGTTGTCCAATTGGTTTTCTGTGGACAATATTCTGAGATTTATTCCGAAAATCATTCTAAAGAATTGAACGATGACTAAGTTAATGTATACGTATTGAGACTATGCAAAAAGTGCATTTAATTATATTCATGAAGATATCAGAAAGTAGCAAGAAAGAGAGAACAGTTGTGAGAGTGACCAAGAACCCAAGAATATCGGCATCACACATGATAATGAGAAGCATGATGACGTACTAAAGAATATGCCCCGTCTTTTTATCTTCAACTCTGAGCTTGCATAGGCTGCAAGATTCAACCTGTTTTACAGACTGAGACTTGATGACCATTATGGCCCATAGAGATCAAGTGAATAATCTCTAGTGGGTTTCTGCTACTGAATGTATAAATGTCACAAGACGAAAGAGAAACAGCATATTATCTCTATGCTACAAATTAAGTCAATAGGGAATGAAGAAATCTATTCGATTAATGGTATTGAAACTTGGAAGAAAAAAAAATTGATGTTAATAAATATGCAGAGAATCCATGCAGCTGATTGGAAGCACATAAAACCACGACAGTTGTGGTTAGCATCTTGAGACTAGATGAGTTGACGGGTGATCATTCAATTTTATCAACTCTTTTTAAACTTACTCGCTATTGCAACCACCTACTGGTCAAGGTTTTAATCTGGCTACTAACTAAATACAGAAGAAACTATGATTTCTAGCAGCTAACTTGTGAAACTAACTCCTTAATACTAATCAGTACTGTATTCTGGGTCATCTAAGCTAAACTTGGCTGCAACAGGCTTTCCATCTAAGCTAAACTTGGTGGCAATCGCTAACAGAATCTGATCTTAGTTTTATCTATCTGAGCTTCTTCAACTTCACCAGACTTACCCTCTGGATCCTGTTCATATATCTTGTTAGTTACCATTTTGTTCACTATGCAAAAAACTTGCGGATTCCTCAATGCTTCTCGCTGAAGAATTTGTTGGTTTCTGCACAATATCTCCGAACGTTGACAATGTGAGTCCTAAATTTTGTCAAGCAATAAAAATACAAGTTCATCAATCATTCTGCGTGTGTCCCAGTGACCAAGTACATTCTTCCTGCAGGTTGGTACGAGTTTTTCTGTCATTACCGAATAAAAGACTGTTGCTCAAGAATAGCTTACCTCTATCATAATGCAAGTGATAGAATTCTCCAAATCATTCTTCTCTTTTGGAACACCTAATATATATGATAGATTCATCATGGCTTTCTCCAATATTGACAGTACTAATTTGCAATTTAACTTCATTGCCTAGTGTTGAACCGTTTGCATTTGCATGGTGTATAGCTTCTCCATCTTCTTCAGACTTCTTATGGGTCCCCAAGTTGTCACTCTTCCACTAATATTTACAAAGTAGAAGGAGTTCTGTCCTCAGCAAATTTCTAAAGCTCGCCTTTGTCACCAAATCTTTCTGAAGTTGTACATTCTTCATGATCCACTGGATAATTCAATTGACCCTCATGTTCAGTGTCTTCAAATAGTGCCAAGTTTTCCATCTGATCCTCATAAATAGTTGGTTCATCAACATCACTATGTGTGTCAACTTCTTCGGTTGACTTCTCTAGATAATGGGAAGATTCCTGCTCATAACAGGAGAGGCAAAAAATAGAATGAAGACAATAACTACTATGTACAGTTTGTGTACATAGAACTTGTGTACATTTTTTCTTGGATTGTTAGACGTTAACATATTTGTACAGCGTAAATGAGAAATAAGCATGTCAATTCTTATATAGAAACATGAGATAGTCACAAAAAAAGTAATGCTCTCAAATATTTCTATATAATTCTCAAACAATAAGAATCAATCTTCTAAAATCTTGATATGTGTAACAAATTGTTTTATGTTTTCCCTAGGAGTTTTGGCTGGCAAACCTGTTCGATATAGGCACCATTATGTGGATGCGTCGTTGAATCCTTCAAAGGCAATGAACTTTGGGAGAAAATTTCACTGGAAACTCCAGTTCTAAGTTCATCTAGTATGTTGTTTTCTACTGCTGTGTCAAACTGCCCAACCTCCATTTGGATATTTTGCTGAAATTCTAACAGGTTATCCATGGAAAAGTTTTATTGTAGTACAGATTGGGGGGATGAGCACGGACTTGGGGCAGCAGGAATTTGTTCAACAGCCACATTCGTTGGTGATACAGATGCTTGGGGATCATCAGACTCCTGAGATGTCCCAGAAGTTCCAACTTCGGAAGAACATGGTTCATCTTCGCTTCGATGAAGTAATTCGAGACTGTTATGATCCTCAAAAGGTGTTAAAGTAGCCACCATTTCTTCATGTTCAAGCACCTTTTTCAATCTACTATCAGAATCTTTAGAATATATTCTGTTATCATATTCCGAACCCTTTAATTCTAACATGTGATGAGTCTTATCCTGTTTCTCAGAATTGCTTCCATTATGTTCAGTAGATTCTGAATCAATTTTTAAAGACTGTTCTATCTGGTTCCCTCTAATATCCTGCAGCATTTCTGAACCATTTACATCACAAATGGGGTTTAATTCACTCTTCAACTTCTCACAGGTATCAGAAGGTTCCTATTCATCATCAAAAGAGAAGCCAAAGTAAATGCACAAATGATTTTTAGCCTCCAGCCCCACAAAAAATTTGCAGAATATACAAATAACCTACTCAACAGTTTAAAAGAAAAAAAATGAGAAAAACACATGCTAGAATAAATTACAACCTCATATCCATTGCCTTGCTTTTATCTAGATGTGCTTGGAACTTTTTGTAACCAGCACATGTGAAGGTTTATTCACTATGTTTCATGCTGATTTCATGCTTTCATGTGCCAGAAACTACAAAATTTCATGTGAAACCTGTGCAGAAACTAAACAGCTCTGCAATTCTCCAAAATTCTTCGTGCTGGACTGACGGCTGTTAGAATAGTCGGTCTTACGAGGTGAAAATGAATGTGGACAAATAGGATTTTGTTCAGTGACTTTCTTTTCCTGCGTTCTATACAAAGTCAGACTTGTTAATTCTTGAAAATCCAACTTCAACGATATGTTTCATGCTGATCTCATGTACTTCTCTCGATCTTGATTCATTTTCATCTATTCCAGATAGGTGAGATGATGCTGAACACAAGTCCTCACTACTCGAGGTAATCTCCTTATCCAAGTCCACATCATATATTGAAATTTCTTCATCCTGAGATGATAAGTTTTCATCGAGCATTAGAGTAGAACTTACTTTTCGAAACTCCACTTGCAAGTCAGACGCAGTGGAATGGGGACAAGTGTGATGGTGCAGAGTCTTGTTAGCATAATAAAGGTGCTCCTCTGATCTGGTTTTCACAAAATGATTAGCATCATCATTTGAACGGTCACCTATTCGGCCATTAGTCTATCTTCAGCAACGATCCTTGTAGCCGGAGAAGCAAGAGATTTTAATATTGCATCTTTGTCTCTCTTATAGAATGGTTCATCCTCTTTTGAAGAAGATGAGCTTGGCCTATCATTGACATCTTCAATTGGAATCAGTTTTGTCTGACAATTCAACATTATCTTCTTCATTGTAATGTTCACCTGTTCACGCACTTGGATGACTTCTTTGATCTGATCATCTGCACTGTCAACCTTTGTTTTAGGCTCAGGTTCCTGAAATTGTTCTGGCTCTAGTATCATGTTGAATTCGCTATCTGTAATCAAAAGATTTTATTTAGTTATCTTGCATTTTTCCTCTGCTTGTGTTTGTCCATTTTAAACATTATTTTTATTTTTCAGTTATTTTGAGGGGAACAATGAATTCTCATTCATATTTTTTCATTACAATCAAAAACTATAACATATATCATACGGTGGAGCAGTGATAACATGGAATGATCTGAAATAATAAAGATTTTGTTTACCTAGTTGGTTTCCTGGTTTAGAACATTCAATTCCTTTGGAAGCTCTCTGTCTCAATCCAAAGTCACGAAACACTGAGGTGTCCGCACAATCTTGCATGAATTCCCTGGGTAAGGAAGCCCTAAACTGAAACTCTTGTGGCTGCAGAACATTATGTCCTTGTTCTGAACTCTCATAAACTCTTGATGGAAACCGTCCCCTGTGAGATCAGGTTTTTCCTCACATGGATCATAAGGAAGATCGAAAGGATTGCACATGGGTATTAAGACAGGAATAAAGCTAGTTGTGCAACCTTTGTTGACAACTAGTTTGACAACCCATGTGTTGTCAAGATCTCGGCAATCGATTTCAAAAACATTTTTTAAATAAATAGATATGATGCTTGACAGGTCACAGGTTGTAAACGAAGTTGTAAATGGGATTGAACAAGAAGCATGACTCTAAAACAGGAGTTGAGCTCGGACCTGGTGAAAACTAACCACTGTTATTCGAAAGAAGATTGTGTTTTGGTCTAGTAATATGAGCAATTTGAGCCACGGGATCATTGCTACCGATGTTCCTCAGTGTCCTTCTAACCTGAAGGCTGAACAATTTCCTTGCTTTCTGTCTTGCAATTAGACTCTCCAATCTTTTGTTCCTTTCAATCTGCGAAATCCCAAGATCCATGAGATTCTTTTGATCATCTGCAGTCCATTCCATAGCCTTATTACCAGCCTCTCTTGCCCCCTCTTCATCTTCTGAGTCCTCTGAAGTTCCTATTTCATATGAGTGTCATGGATTGGACCATTATTATATTATCTAGTTGGGCTTGTATAGTGGGCTAGCCCAAAGCCCTTTTTGTTCTATATAGGGTTGAATTTGGACGACGATGAAGGGGATGAAAATTGGAAAATTGATTCATGCTCTCTCGTCTTCTCCTCCTCCTCTCCCTGTCTGCTCCTCCTCCAGTATTCTTCCTTGTTTCTCCTGCTGTTCCTTCTCTTCAGTTCTTCTTCTCCTCTTCTTCTGCTGTTCTGTTCTTCCTCTCTTCTGTTGAATTTCTCGCTTTCTTCTTCCTCTGCTGGTCTATCTCTTTCCCTTATATAATTGTCTATTACTTGTAATTTCCTGCATTGTAATAGAATTGTTGATTAATGAGATGAAAATTAGTTGTCCTTGTTAGTAGTCTCAGTTTATGTTCTTCAATTTGAGTAATTACAGTTTATATTCTGCCTCTTCAATTCATAGTTGCTTGTTGTTGGTTGAGTTTTACACAAATTGAGTTCCAACCATAACAACAAGCCATTACAAAATTCCAGTTCTAGACTTTTAGATGATCAACCTCCCGAATTTCTTCTGGGCACTCTTCTTTGTCAACCAAATCATAATTGACGCTGGTCGAGAAAATAGTTGTTTTCTCCTCCACATTGTTTTGTGAATCATCATCATCTTCTCTCCTAATATTTTTCTCTCTTCTTCCTCTAACAGAGCGAACATGAACAAAGACTTCCCATTTCTAGCAACAATTGAACTTCCATAATTGTTCTTCTCATCCCTTTTATAAAGACTAGAAAAGATTCTAATGACAGCAGTAGAAACAATAAAGGGAAACAAATAAATCAAAAAACCAGAACACCGATGGAAAAATTATATACAGGAGAAATAAGAATAACAAAGTAAATGAAACAAATGGATACTTCATAGCAGTATTAACCAAAGTTTTGGATGAAAATTTCAGTATTTTCCATAAAAATATTTGAACATCAACATCCATTATTTACAAAAAAAAAAAAAATGGTTTTCCTTTTCACAGAATCATTTCAATTTTACAGAATATCTAAACCCGTCTTATCTAATAATCAAATTATTGTCTCACATTGTACAATTCCTATTAATACATATTGAAAAGACAGCTCAATTAAATCTGAAAAGTATTAAATAAAAGAGAAGAAAATGAAAAGCATAAAATCGGAGAGAGGGAAAAAAACCCTCATTCTAAAATCAACCAAATTACTTTCTTTTGTGTAAATTAAGTGCCAAAATTCGAGCAATATTGAAACAGACATTCGTAGCTTTTACCTGAAAAGGCCAATGAGTTCTCTCTCTCGTTGATTCTTATAGCAAATCGATGTCTGGCCGACAGCTTTGTTCCATCCTGTATGTAAGGACATGTCTGCTATCGTTCTCCTGAATCCCTGGATTCAGGAAGCGCCAACCAAGAAATGAGTCGATGATTATATCGGGTTAATCGTCATCCAAGTTTTGAGTCTTTATATATTACAAAATTAATTAATTTTTTCTTTTTTTTTTAAATAATAATATATTGACGTTCACTTTCTTTTATAATGTCTAGAATTTATTTAATTATTAAAAAATAGCATATTTATTTAATTATTGATGTGATGAAAAATATTATTTTATTGAAAAATTGAAATATATAATTAATAAGAATCGCTACTGGGTATGGATTAGTTGTGTGGAGGTGAAATGGATGGATGAGTTTGGTTGGTAAGAATGAATTTTTTTAAGGGTACGTTTGATTGTAAAGGTTAAAAATGGGTGGAAAGAAAATATTTTATAGGGAAAAAATTTGCCTATAAATGTTTTGCAGAGAAAATGATTTCAAGTGTGTTTGTTTGGTATAATTTTCCACCCGAAAAATTTTTAAATTTTCTATTCGTTTGGCTTTGTTTTACATGGAAATTGTCCATTAAAGTGATTTTTTTCCATAATTGGTTATAAAATTTGTTTCCATTGCCAAAAAGTTAAAAAAAAA